CAGCACTTGTCAGCTGCTCCGGAATGCCCCCTCACCCTCCCAGCTGCCCAGGCTGAAGGCCGCCCTCAGACCTCTGGCCCCCTCCTGACGGGGGTTCCTCAGGCCCCAGCCCTGGACCCCTTCTCTTCTCTGCCCTCCAGATGCCAACACTGCACCCACGACTGCAGCCCTGTGCCCTGTATGGCTCAGCAGGGGACCTGCCATCTCCTGGGCCAAGCCTTCACCGTCCCAGGGTCAAGAAAGGCCTCCTCCCTCCCCACCTCTCCAGGTTCGTCCCTCCCACGGAGGTCCCCCTGTTCACCTCAGAGCCAGGGCCCAGCCCTAGGGACAGCACTGCAGGCCTCCCGTGTACTCTGCACAAAATCCAAACTTCTAGGCTGCCAGGCCTCTTGCTGGGATGTCCACCCCACCCGTGCCTGCCTGGGCACATCCCTGCTCCTCTGCATACCAAGCTAGGATGAGCCATCTTAGTAATATGGAAGAAACTGGAGGCTGAGACACCAGTACTGCCCAAATGGGACTGGGCCCAGCCTCCAGAGGCCCCTGAGGTCACCTCTCAGGGAGGCTAAGAGAAGGAAGGAAGGACATTCTGTTGAGCTCTCATTTAGCCCAGCTCAGAGGCTACCTCCTCCAGCAAGCCCTCCTGGGTCTACCTGGTAGCTGGGGACAGTCCCAATCTGGGGGTGTCCCAGGGCCTCCGCCATGGCTATCTCCCAAGAAGGTACTCCTCAAATATCTGACAGTCAAGAGGGGTGAGACGGGCTGGTCCCCCACAGCCCAGAAACAGTCTGCCTGTTACGGCCCTAGACACCTGGCTTGCAGAGACAGGACCTCTGGGGGGCCTTTTATTGGGCAACTGATTCCCTTTCTGCCTTTGAGTCCAGGAAGCTCAGTGCTGGTCAGGGGCTTAGGGGCGGGTTTCCCTCCCTGCCTCCGTCCTGCTCCCACTCCCACTCCCCGCATCTGAAAGTCCGACCTGCCCCTCCTCCATGGCTGGACCAACGATGAAGAAATGAAGGTGACACGGAACACAGGCCCTTGAGGGGAGCCAGGCGGGGTGCGTGGGGGTGGAGGGGGGACAGGGCTGGCAGCTCTGGCCCTCTCGCATCACCTCCCCTACGAGGAGTGGGGAGAGCGAAGGCCAGTTCTGTGGGTGCTGAGGGCCGGCAGCGCTGTGCTCCTCACCTGGGGGCACGTGGGGGTGCAGAGGGCCCGGGGCTGCGGGGCAGGGAGTCCCAGGAGGTTCCCTCCGGCACCAAGAACTGCGCCAGTGCTGGGAGCCCCTCGCACCTGCTGGGCCCAGGCTCCGGGACACTTCTCCAGAGGCCTCCTCCGCTCGTGCCCTACACGCCCTGTCTGCAGACCCAGGGGAGGCACGGATGTGGCTGGTGCAAGCGGAGGGCACGGCGGGCCCAGGGCCCACATCAGCCCGCTCTGCCCACTCCTGGGCAGCATCCCCGCGGTCCAGGAGGGCCCGACCCAGCCTCATGGTGTGGGCTGTGGGGGTGGGGGTGAGATGAGGACAGACAAATGGACAGACAGATGCACAAAGAAAAGAAAAATAAGCAAGTGGGCCTTGGTGATGGCCACCTGTCGCTCTCACCTGTCAGGCGCTCACCTGATCTACAGGCCAGATCTACGTCCTTCTCAAAGTCGGTCTGCAAGACAGAGGTGAGCAGGGTGAGCCTGCAGCAGGTGGGCAGGGCCGTGCTGAGCTGCAAGGGCAGCCGCACCTCATGGGTGTCCATGGCTCATAGTGTCGTACTGATGTGTTCACCTGAAGTGAAGCCCCGGTGGGCACCCCGGCCTATGCGTACGCGCTGCCCCAAGGCCCTGCTGGCTTAGCTGGCAGCTGCCCCACTGCAGCTCACCCATGCTCTTGCCTCTGGTCTGTCTCCCTGAACCCTGGCCCTTAGGCCTGCAGTGCAAGAAGCCCTCTGTCCTGAACCCCATGTTCCTCTGAGGGGGCAGGCTACCACCTGGTGACGAGCAGGGCAGCGGTCCCATGTCACCTCTGTAGTCCTCCCCATAGCCCTGGGGATGAAGAAATGGAGGCTGACCAGCGGCCAGGGATAGGAAGAGTGGGGTCTGCACACAGATATGTGGTGCCAGGGAGGGACCAGCTGCAACACCTGCTCCATCCCAGGCTAGGAGCTGGGGAAGGTGACAGTGGGCAATCCAGGACACCTTCAGGGAGCCCAGACAGCTGGGGACCAGGACCTGGGCCACCCCAGGCCAGGGCATAGCCTCTCTAGGGGCTGTGGGGTCCCAGTGGATCGTCAGCCCCCTTCTTCTCAAACCTGGAGGTTCCTTCTCTGCAAACACAGAGGTTGGGTTGGGGGAGACCACAGTCTGAGAGTAGAGGTCAGGCCAGCAGCAGTGTCATGGGGTCCATGCTCCTGAGGACACCAGCAGCCTCCCTGGGCATCTGCTAACACCCTGCCTGGGACCCACACAACCACCATGCAGTGACTGGGCACCCTAAAGACTGAATGAGCACCTCTGGCCGCCAGGCTCTCTGACAGCGAGAATTCACCCAGGGCACTGTGAGGGCCTGAACAGGCAGCCCGAGGGGTCAGGGAGGGCTTCTCGGAAGAGGCTGAATCTCAGCAGACACCTGCACAGGGGGCAGCAGGAGTGGGTGGGTGTGCAGTGCCTGGGGTCTGACAATGTGTGTGGTGCTGAAGGACCAGAAGTCAGGTCCTGAGGGGACCTGGCTGAGGACAGGCCATGGCGGGGTGTGAGTGAACAGACAGGCTGGGGCCCCAGTCCCTGCAGGTGGAACGGGAGAATCGAGTTCCATTCCTGGCTGAGATGGAGGGCAATGAAGGGACCTGGGAGATGGAAGGAGGGCAGGGCAGGGCTGAGGCGAGAGCTGGGACTCAGAGAGTGCCACCCCGCACAAGGCCACTAACTGGTACCATGAGCGGGCATGTGGATGCTAGCCCTGCCCAGACTCACCAGCTTGGCCCTGCCCGCCCGTAAACTCCGGACCAGGGATTTCACCTTGTCGAGCCTCAGTTTCCCCAACCTCAAACTAGGCTGCAGGCTCCCAGAGCAGCTCTCACCAGGGTGAGGACCAGAGCAGCCTGGTGGGGGCACTGAGCCCTGAGCCCTACCATGAGCTGGGCGTGGCCATTCTGGAAGGAGCCCCCTGAGTCCCCGTTGCCCTCCTCCTGGCGGTCCACCACGCGGCACTTCACGGCATCCTGGACCTGGGAGGGGAGAGCAGAGGTGGTCAGCAGCGCAGACTGAGCCCCAGAGCGATGCTGGGAAGGAGAGGGGAAGGACAGCAGGGTGGTGTCTCTGTGTGGGGCAGCCAGTGCCAGGGCCAAGCCTCCCCTCCTCCCTGAGCTTCTTTTTATGTCCTTTGTGATACAAATACTCAAAATGTGGAGCTCTGGGTCCCCTGAGATTGTGCTGCAGGCCCTCTTGGCCAGCCTGTCAATGAGAACCCAGCATCCACCTGAGGGGTACCTGGGGCCGGGACCCATCCTGAGTCACCACACACTGTGCCCCAACTGTTGGGGGCAAGCTGAGGGCCTGGCCCTCACTCCCTCGGGGACACCCTGCCCGGGCACCTGCAGGGGCCCTGGGATGGGAGTGTGTCCGGTGGGGAGGGGGCGCCATGCGGCAGGACGAGGCCCGTATCACTAAGAGCAGCATGCTCCATCAAAGGAGATTTCACCCACTACATCCTCAGACTCTTCAGAAAGGCACATTCTTGATAGTTTCATGTGAGGGGGACACCCATGCAGCCAGCATAGAGCTTGTCACTAGGGATTCGTCACTAGAGGAGGAGACCTGCTTATCCAGCGACATCGTTGGTCAGTGTGAGCAAGAAGCAGCGGCTGGCATCTTCACCTGCTGCTGACAGCGCTGCTCTGAGAGCAGGGGGCAGTAGGGGGCAGTGTGCTGCCCTCACGGAGCTGACTCTTCAGGAGACACCATGTGCAGAGGCAGTAAATGAGATGGGGGGGCTGTGAAAGTACAGAGGGCTCCCTGGAGGAGGTGATCTGAGTGCAGGTGGTGAGTGCTGGGAGAAGGCCATGCTGGGGGTTCCTCGCTCCCAGACAGACTCACCATGGACCTGTGGACCTGCCCCCACTCACCCCAGCTGCTGAGATTGTACTGCTGTGAGGACCTGGAGTCCAGTGCATTGAGGCCACAGTCACCAGAAGCAAGGCCAGGGTCTTGCTGGCCTGGAGCCAGTCTCCAGAGCAGCCCCCTGTAACTCCCCCTGCAGGGGTGCCTCCCTTCCATCCTTCACTCACTGACGAGCCTGGCAAGCATTTGCTGAGCACCTATGTGTACCCAGTGGATGCGACCCCATCCAGGAGATGGCAAATGGGAAGGTGCCTTCTCCACTCACATGAAGAGGGGTGGGGACCTCCAGAGCGCCTCCTGTCCCTGCCTCCAGGATGGCTGGCCTCACTCCGCCTGCTCCCCCAGAGACGCAGGCTCTAGTGGTGCAGACGACCACCTTACTCGCCGGCCCGTCAGCATGTCCCATGCCCGCGGAGCTGGCCAGGGCTGCCTGGCATGGCCTCTGCCTGCCTCTCCCAGCCCATCTTCCTGCAGCCTCTCATGGAAGCACAAGCACAGACCCATGCCCAGCCTGGCCCAGGGGCACAGACCTCACACATGGCAGCCCACAGTGAGGCAGACTGGGAAGTGTGACCTGCGTGTCCTGCCCCCACGGGAACACTTAGCACCTGCTCTGCCCCATCGCCACACCCGGGTTTCTTGGGTGTCCTCAGGGGGGCCTGACCCTTCCACAGAGCAGGCCCCCTGTGCTCTGGGCATTCCTGCCCTCTGTCCTGGCAACCTGTTGTTGCTGTGTCTCCCTCACTGTGCCCTCCTGTCACTTAGGCAGTCCTTCAGAATTCACCTTCCAGTGGCTTCGACGTACCCCACTCCCCCCACTGCATGGGACACGGCCTCCGGCCTCTGCTCAGCACCTGCTCCCGGGGCTGGGCCTTCAGGCTCTGGTCCTGTTGGCAGGATGTTCCTCTCTCATAGCCTGCCCTTCTTGTTTCCCAGAAGCTGGCCCACGAGGGCCAGAGTGCCACCTTAGAGCCTGGCCGTGGGAGCAACTGGTGGGGCATCTTCAAGTCAGAAACCTCAGGGCGCCCTCCTCCTGCCTCATCCTGTGGCTAGAGCCCCTGGCAAGGGGAGTCCACATCCCCCAGGTCTGAGATCTGGGCTTCAGCTGACACGTGGACAAGGTCAGCACGTGGTCCACCCATCCCTGTTTCAGCATGGTGTCCCCATGTTCAGCCAGGTAGGATGCCCCCTGTGCCAAGGCCCAGGGCCCACACCCTTGGATGGTGAAGCTTTAGGTGGGGGAGGTCAAGCTGGGCCGTGCTGCCTGTCCAGGAGGCGGTGGAGCCTCGGCCTGAGCAGACAGCTAACCAGTTGTCTGCCCCAGACCTTCTCTCGGTGCCCAGAGGCCCTGCTGGCCCCGCGTCTGGAAGCTCTCTGGGCTCCGGTGGTGTGAAGCAGCTGCAGCCTGGCTTCGTGGTCCTGCTCCCCACGCTCAAGCTACTGCTGTGGCTTCCTGTCCGGTGTCCTTCATCCTTTCGAACCTGTGTGCTTCAAAACTCCCCTTGCCACCTTTCTAGGAGATTCCAGGAGATGCGGATCCCACACGTCTGCCCACCGTGCCTGCCTCCAGCCTTGCCGATGTCCTGGTGCCAACACTGAGCAGCCCCCCATCTGACCTTGACGTAGGCACCTCTCCCATCTGATCAGCACGCACATTTTTCACATTTCAAACCCCTCTATGGTACAGTTGGGGCACAGCACCTTAACTGGCCACCAACCAGTGGCTGTCGGGACATAGTTCGGTGAGGACTTCCGCTTGCTGCCTCCTGGAGGGGCCAGGAGACCCCAGCAGTCCCAGTGGTCCTGACGGCTGCTCATGCCTCTGGTGGTCTGGTTCCTGTAGCCCCAGGGCTGAGCTCCCCACCCCATCCCCGTGGGGTGCAGGGTCCACCCCAGTGGGAGGCTGTTCTATTAATAAGCGACCGTTCCCTGCAGCCTGGCTGCGGGCTGGCCGAGCCCCCCTCACAGCAGCGCGGGCGTGGGGGCTGCCGCCCACCTCTCTCCGCAGGATGCAGTGCACCATCACTATGACGAAGCCCTCCAGTGAGTCAAAGACGGCGAAGAGGATCTGGAAGAGGGCCGAGCGGCGGTCGGTGACAGCAAGCACAGCCGACATCCAGGTCAGGGCCAGCAGCGGCAGGACCACACAGGAGCTCCACAGCGAGGCCCTGCGGGCGGCGGGCGGTGGCATCAGGGTGGCCCTGGGCCCTGCGGCTCCTGCCCCGCTCGTGGACCGGGCACCCAGGCCGAACCAGCCTCAGCCCGTCTGCCTGCTTGGGGACGGGCCAGCCACCCTCCCGCCTGGGGCCCTGCTGGGCCTCCCACCCCCGGGGCTGCCTCCTCCCCCTTCCCCGGGGCTCTCTGACCCCTCCCCCATCCTCTGTAGAGGCCCTCTCCCCTACCAGCCCCACTGCTTCTCTCCTGGGGAACGGGGTTCTGCCAGCAACCCCTCCCCAAGTCCAGGGCTCCCAGGGGAGCTGGGGACTCCAGAGGCAGGGAACTCTGGGAGAGCCAGGCCCCTGAGGTCTGGGAGGGGAGGCACCCGGGCGGAGGGGCAGAGCTGGGCGGGGAGGTCCTGGCTCGGTCCAGCTCCCAGGGCCCTCAGGCTGCCAGCCAGGAGGCTAGGGCACAAGCCACAGGATGGTCATGGGGCAGGGGACGCTGGCCAGGCCTCTGAGCTCTGGACAGAGAGAGAGAGACAGAGACAGGGAGAGAAGGAGAGGAGCAGAGACTCTGGAATAAGGCAGCAAGACAGACAGACCAGCAGAGACCCCCAGCAGCTCTCTCCTCTGGCAGGCCCTGCTCGGCCCCCCACGTCCCCAGAGGGGCTTGCTTCTGCTCCCCAGCCCCCGGCCCCTCCTCCAGGGAGTCCTGCAGGAGCACCCACAGCAGGCTGCGCCCGACACCACCTTGCACCCCCGCTGGCTGCACTGGAGCCTGCTCTAAGCCCACCTCCTGGTCTGTACAGTGGGGTCACTATGCCACCTCAAGGGGCCATTGTAGGGAAAGGACCCCTGGTACCCAACAGGTGCCTGGGAAATGTGCCCAACCTCACCCTCACCACTACATCAACTCTTGGGACTCTGCCCCATGGGCAGATGACTGCCTGCAGGGGCTCAGAGGGGCTGTTCACGTCCCTGTCACCGTCCCTAGGGGTGGAGGCTGGCATCAAGCCCACTTGCTCCCTCCACCCCCCTGTCAGCCTGTCACAGGGATGATGTGGCAGTGGCAGAACTGCAGGAGGTGGGGTGGGGGCATACAGAGCAGGGGCCGGGACCACCAGGAAGAAGTGGGGTCTCAGGGCTGGTGGGAGAGAAGCCTGGACAAGGACCCCCAAACCAACAGGGCCTTGGCCAGGGTGGGGGGTAGGAGCACCCCACACTGCAGGCCCTGCCCCTCCACTCTCTCCAGCCTGTCCGAGGCCCAGCCCCAAGGGACTTCTCCATCCTCATCTCTAGACTCCTCTTGGTGTCCGGGCACAGAGGTATGCCTGCCTCCTCTCCTATTGCACCACCTCCTCCTGGGCCCATCTTGAGGACCCGGGCCTCCTATCCCAGCCCGATTCTTCTCTAGGACAGAGGTCCTGGCCCTGTCCCTACCCAAGGCCTTCCCCAGCTCCCTGGATGGCTCTCTGGCCACCTGCCTGGTCACCTTGAAGCCCCCACACCTCCTCTGTAGGCGCAGCATGGCCACTAGAACTAGGCCTCGAAGACCACTCTCCTGGCCCCCCTTCCAGGGTCCCACCAGCCCTTGGCAGTAAGAGGCTGGGTGGCACCACCTTCAGTCTTTGTTCACTATGGACGGATGAGCGTGCTGCCTCCCTCCATGCCTACTTGTCCCCCCCGGGGACGGGGGTGGCCTGAGAAGGTGGGCCCTCCACGAGCATCCAAACGCCTGCAAGCCATCCCTCGTTCCTCCCTGGGCCTCACTTTCTCCACCGTGGCAGATGGGGCTGAGTCTCTCTCCCCCCTTCCAGAGCTGACCTTCTTTGGTGGACCCCCTGGCCACCCCTGCCCCACGTTCCGAGCAGGAGGGGCAGAGCCTCCCTACCAAACAGGTCATCCTGCTCGGAGGCATCTTCCCTTGGGCCTGAGGCCTGACATTTACAGCCCGATGACTCTGCCAGCTGGCAGATGGCTGGGGCTGGGGGACCCATGGATTATTTGAATTCCCACAGCCCAGCCCCTGCAGCTTCTGAAAACGTTTCTGCAGAGCCTTGGGGGTCAGGTATGATCAGCAGGAGAAGAGGGGCCAGGTAGGGGAGCGGAGCATGGGCAGTCCCACCATCCGCCCCCTCTGGAAAGCTAGGTGCCCCCAAGGGGGGCTTTGAGTGTGGCCAGGGGTGACCAGGGTCACTTGTTCCAACTTGCTGCCTGACCTCAGAGACGCCCCAAGGCTCTCATGACAGGCTCTGGTACAGCCCCGCATCTCAGGGCAGGTGAGGTGGTGGCTACCCACAGAGGCTGGCGTGAGGAACAAAGAAAGGGCAGTGCTGAGGCCCGGAGAGCACTGTGCTCCGGGGTGCACCCGCCAGCGCTGGGGCCCGGCACGGAGGAGCAGCTGCGTGTGCCTTGAACCTGCCCCCCATCCGGAGGGCTCTGGCTCAGCCGGACAATCCTTGCCCCTGAACTCATGTCTGCCTTAGCTCAGCTGCTTCCTACTGCCAAGAGAGCCCTGTTCACACGGCTCTTAAAATCCTGGGCCCTTGGGCCTGGCTCGGGTAGCGAACACAGGAGGTGCCATGGGACACGTGGGGCTGGGGACAAGACAACCCAGACCCTCTCAGGGCAGCAGAGCCCAGGGCCCTCCGGACTCACCCTCTGCCCCAGACCTCAGGCCCACACAGTCCCTGCCTGACTCCTGGCCCTTGGTGACTGCCCAGTCAGCAGACAAGTCAGCTGCCCTGAGCCTGCTGGCCTGTGTCCACGGCCATGATTGCCTCTCACACACACGTTCAAACACTCAAATGACTTCCACCAGCATGCACACACATGTTCGTGTGTGAAGACTCACACCCACATGCTTACACACACAGTCTCACACACACTATGCACACCCACCCATATGCCTGCACCTGTGCACACGCGTGCACACACACACACTCTGGCACACAGAGTGCTGGCCTACACTCTGGCACTACCACACACTGGTGATGGCCCCTGGCTGACCGTGTCCTCATGCTGACCCGGCCCACATGCCTGTGGGGACCCCTGCCCTGTGTGCCTGGTGCTAAGAGGCCCTTCAGGATGGAAGAGGGAGCCTGGCAGGGCCGGGGTGGGGCAGGGCAGGCAGGAGATGAGGCGGCCAGAGCATGGGGAGGCCAGGCGGGGCTGCCTCGGAACCTCAGAGTGGATGGCAGAGATGACAGCAATGACAGAAGAAGGTTAAAACAAACAAATGTAACTCAGAGGCGGGCAGAGCCTGGGGGCGGGCAAGGCGGGCACGGGCAATGGGAGGCACTAACATGGCATTACTGGTGGCTTCAGAGGCGGCGGCCGCAGAGAGGGCTCCACACTCGGCACACGTGAGGGCGCGCCCGAGGGGGGCCTGGGGCAGCTGGCTGCAAGTGAAATTCAAAGGCTGAAACAGAGGCTGACACTGGCCTAGGGGACACCGGTTTGGTGGGGGGCAAAATAAAGGGGCCAGACCAACAGATGGCTGTGCGGCCCAGCCTCTCTGGTGGGGGGGGGGGCCGGGAGGGCAGGTGAGGACAGCCCCTGGGGGGCCCTGGTGGTGGGCAGGGTCCTGAGCAAAGCGCGGGTGGGTCGAGGCCCTGAAGGGCCAGGGTCCTTGGGGCAGCTTTCTGCCTGGTACACCCAGAACCTGGCGTGTGTCCTGTGCAGCTGGCACATCCACGCAAAGCAGAACCTGGGAGCAAGGCTGCCATTCTCCATCCCCCATCACTGCTCTGACCACGCACTGTCCCCACCAGGGTGGCATCCGCTCACCTGGACTGGGCATCGGTGAGCTACCTGGGCAGAGCCCTCCCTTGGGCCCTGTGCGTGCATGTGCGTGCATGTGTGTGAGCAGGCACAGAGCATGTCTGGGTGCCTCCTGCCTGTCGGGGAGCAGGGCTCTGTGCACAGCTGCATAGGCCAGCCTGAGTGTCAGTGCCTGAGCTGTGGCACCTGTGCACACAGGCAGGGGCCCTACCGATGAGGAGGTGGCCGCATGGACATGCTGCGCTCTAGCATCCGTGTGACCCAGCTCAGATCCTGCTCCACCAGCCCTCACCCTGCCCAAACCCCAGTCTGCTCAGCTGTAAAATGGGAACACACAACAGTAGTGGCCTCAAGGATTATCCTATGAAGAAAACAGGGCCTGGCCAGGCAAGTGTGCAGTGTGCACAGCACTACAGCGGCTCGGTGTGGTCTGGGCCTTCTGCTGTGACCGCTGTCCCAGGAGCATGTGTGGGTGACAGTGTGTACCAGGAACGGGCTGGGACGAGGCCTGTCAGTCCCCACCTCAGACTGGGAATGAGGCCCAGGGAGGGAGGCTCTCGGCCACTGGGGACCCTCCAGGGTCACAGGCCTCTCCCAAGGCAGCCTAGCAGGTTTCTAACCAGGACCAGAGACCACCAGGGACCCCAGGGAAGGGTTTCCTAAAGATTCTGTCCACTGGATCAGGGAGGAGGAGCAGGAAGAGAAGGGAGAGGGAGAGAGATGAGAGACAGAGACAGAGAGACAGATGGAACAAGACTGATCCAGGGGAGGTGCAGGGGAGACCCCGCACAGACACCAGCCAGGGCGCAGGCAGACAGAGCGGCAGGCAGGGGCACGGTGAGGGGGGCTCAGAGGGCTGTGGCAGGACAGAGGGGTCTGTCCCAGCCAGCTGGTGGCTCCAGCCGTTCCCTGGGAGGCCAGAGGGCGGCACCACCCCAGGCAGCCTCCCTCTGCTGCTGGACGTCACCACAGTGCTGGGTGCCTGCAGCCAGCACGGCCCTCTCTGGGCTCCAGTCCCCTGGCAGGAGGAACATTCGGCCCGTCCCCAGCACTCTCCTCCCTGCAGTGAAGGACAAGGACCAGCAGGCCACCTCCCTGCTCAGGGTCACTCAGCACCGTGGGGGGGGACAGAGGCATGGCAGGGGTGCCTTCCCTCTATCAGGGTGAGCCCCGCGGAGGCGGCTTTTCAAAAGCCATCAGTGTCACTGTTTATGAGGATCTTACAGGGGCCCTGCCCTGTCATGGGCCAGATAGAGAAACTGAGGCACAGACAAGGCGGGGCGGGCTGTGAGCCTATGCAGAACCTGTGCCTCAGTCCCCCACCTGTGCCAGGGGCTCGGGGTGGGTGGGCTCTGGGTCTTTCGACGCCAGGCGGGGGAGCTGCTGTGGCGCCCGGCCCTACCCTGCCCGCTCCTTCAGCTTCTTGTCTGTGATGCCGTCCTTGGAGACCAGCTTGTTGAACACCAGGATCCCGATGACCATGTTCACCTGCAGGGCCGAGAGGAGCAGGGTGTGGGGCTCCACGTCTGGCCTTGGCGCCCCCAGCCCTCAGCATGGATGCTGTGCACCCCATGCCCAGGCCGGGAGGTGGGTCTCCAGGGAAGAGGGGTGGGCTCTCACCCCCTTCCCCTTACTGCCCCCCTCCAGAGCCCTAGCTGTCAGGCAGGGTTCCCTATGTCCCAAAGCCCCCCACCAGCTCCACAGGGCTGGGTGCTGCAGCCCCAGCCTCCCACCAGACCTGCTTCCCTGGGATCTGGAGCCCTGCCCCGTGGGGCGGACCTAAGGAGGGGGCCAGGCCAACGTGGCTGGTTCAGAGGGTGACCCAGGACCTCTCCCTGCAGGCTGGACAGGGTGGGCCCTCAGGGCAGACACCCCAGGGTGGATTGTGCTGTACAGCCCAGAAGCCTACTGACCAACCCCAGGGGGGTTGGAACAGTTTGTGAAGCTGGGGATTCCATCTGCCCAGAGGTCAGAGGTCAGGTTTGGGGGGAGAGCCAGCTGTCCCTGCCCAGAGTGGGGCTGAGCACTCCAGGGTGTGAGCCGGCTGGCTACACTGTGCTGCCAGGAGCATACACAGCTCACTCAGAAGGGAGCACAGGTGCCCTGGGCACCTGAGCTGCAGCGCCCAGCTCTTCGCGTCAGGCTCCTCTGTCCTGGCTGGGGCCCACCTGAGGGTGAGGGCCATGTTGGGACACCCCCCCCGTCCTGGCTCTGCTCCTTCACTCTCTGCCCTGGGAGCCCTTCAACCTTACCTCAGGTGGCCTCGCCCACCGGCCTTTCCTGACCCCCCACTGGCCTCCTGATCCCCAGTAAGTGCCTCTTGGGGTTGAGGTTTGTGTCGTCTGCTACTTCCCCAGGGCACCTTGCAGCCAGAGGCCCTTGGGTTTCCCCTCTCCCTGCCTACTCTGCTGGGAGCCGGGCTCCCCTGAATGCCCTTCCCCCATCCCCGGGCCCCCAATCTGCAGAAATGCACCTGAAGAGGTGCACAGCCCACCCCCTGGCCATGTTCCTTCAGTCTGGGGTCCCTGGGCCCCTGGGCCCAGAGGTCCAGGGAGGCTGACTACCCACGGTGCCACAGCTTCAAGCGGTTCCGGCTCTGCACCCAGCAAAGGCCTGGGGCCCTGCCTCCTGCCCCGGGAGTGGGAAGCTCCAGGCCAGAACATCAGGGGGTCTGCCTGGGGTGAGGTGACCTCATTTTCTGTCAAGTTCAGGAGCCGTGCCCGGGGCAGGATGGCAGACTCTCTGCTCAGCCTTGACCTGCGGTCACCCCGTGTGACCTGCAGGAGCCCCCAGACCCCTGGGCACGGTCACTAAAGTGGCCGGCTGGCCAGCACTGATGAGCCTGGCACACAGGCCTCCACTGCCGGCGCCTCCCAGGAATAAAGCAGCCCTGGGCTTCTCAGCCAGGCTGAGAGCTGGGGAGGGGCTGTGCACAGACGCTGCCATCCCTGGCCCCCAGGTCCCAGCTGGTTCCTGAGCTCAGTCTCCCCTGGTACACGGTGGCACTTTTCTCTGCCACCTGCAGCCTGTGTGTGAGCCTGGACATGCCAGTGACAAGGTGGCACAGCCCTACAGCAGCAGAAGCCTGGATACCCAGGGGCTGGAGAGGGAGCAGCCCGACTCGAGGGGCAGGCTCAGAGCAGAGCCCCAGCCTTTCCCTCATCCACAACCCAGGAAAATGACCCTGGGTGCCACACAGAGCCATCTTGCATCCCTTATCAAAGGCACATGGGAAACCCTGAAAAGGTAAGCCCAGGGCCCCGCAGGGGCCGTGCCTCCTACTCAGGAGCCTGCAGCCTGGGCCCTTCCAGGGAGAAACCCTGGCCTGCCTACCTCCACCTGCCCGCACCCTGCTGCCTGGTCAAGCCTCTGCCCACCTGCCCATCCACCCAGTCCATCACTCAGCAGACCCACATGGATCTCCTGGCTGGTACACAGCTGGTGCCTGCTGATCAGGCAAGTTGTGCTCATAGAAATAAAAGGCCACTCCTCCAGCCCAGCCTCAGCACCCATGCACGCCAAGGGCAGGGTGGGGGACTGTGGGCTCCACCCACCCTCTGGTGACCAGGGCAGCCTCGAGAGGCAGCAGGTGCAGCCCAAGGCCCTGGACCAGGGGGAGGTGAGGGGCCCAGCTCAGGGGGCGGGAGGGTCAGTACCAGCACTACAGCGGCGGCAGGTCCCACGAAGGCGTACAGCAGTCCCCCCTCCAGGGACAGCCAGCAGCTGGGGAGGGAGACAGGCTGGTTAGTGTTCAGGCACGAGCGCCCACCCACTACGGAGGGGGCGCCACCAGCGCCTCAGGAGGGCGGGCGTCCAGCGCACGTGTGGATGCCACACACTCATTCCTACTTCTGGACCCTCAGGAGCCCCAGGTGGCACTGCCACCCCTGGTTTACAGGTGGGGGCATGGCCCAGAGCGCAGGGTGCACCTGCCTGGAGCACACACAGCAGAGATCCAGGCAGCCAGACGAAGGTGCCCTCACTGTCCCCCAGGCTCCTGGACCCTCCCTAGTCCCACACACAGATCTTCCCCCTGACATGATGCCAAACGTCAGGCTGGGTCCTTGGGCTGGCCCTCTGCCTGCCTACCCGACTCAGGCCCCACAGCCTGGGCACCTCACCCCCACACTTGCTCACCAGACCCACAGGTCCCTGAACCTTCTGGACACCGCCCATGGTGGCCACAGGAGCCTCGAGCCCAGTGAGGACACTCTGTGTTCTTCATGTGCTTTTCCTCCGCCTTGAGCGTTCTATCCACATTGTCTGTTAAGCAACTCCTCTTCATCCTTCAGAACCCCACTTCTGATCCACCCCTGACCCCAGCAGGCTGGGTATTCCTTCCTCTCAGCTCTGGGGCTGGCGCCCATTTATACCTCCCAGCACTCACCCACTGCCCACCCCCAGGTCTTCCAGTAACTCGGCCCCACCATCACATGGGCATCACCCCAGGGTCCAGCCACACCCTGTCTCCCTGGGGGTCACCGTGAGCCAAACCTACACAGCCCGTATCAGGTCTTCCTCCTGGCTCCGGCCCCAGTTTTCCCTGCCCCTGTGGTCACAGGCTTCTCCAGGCCTCGGCTCCTCTCCTGCCCCATGGGAAGCCACACTGCCCCCAGGATAACCCTAGGCTTCCTAGCTTGGGCATTCAAAGCGCTGGGACCTGGCCAGCTGCCCTTCAGGGCCTCAGTGACTTCATCCATGAAATGGGCCCCAACCTGCCCACCCCACCCTCCATACACACTCCTTCTTATCAGACTCGTATAGGGTGGAGCCCTATCATGCATATGGGGACACTGAGGCTATCGAACCTGCCCAAGGCTACCTAAGGGGAATGTGGGTGGCTCTGATGGGCCCAGGCCCCATTTCTCTCCATTCCACTGGCCCAAGGCCAGAGAAGAGGTGGTTGATGTGAGGAAGGAGGCTGTCAGAGGAGCCCAGCCTCCATCTCCTGGGCCCCCACCCTCTCCTGCCTCCGTTTTCTCATCTGCAAGACAGGTGCCCAGCCAGCTGTCACCTTCTAGGGTGCTGGGAGGGTCTGGGGGAGCCGCATGGCCTCCGCCACATTCCCACCCCACCCTGACTCACTAGTTCATGGTGCTGTACCCTCTGGCCTTGGTGAATCCCACGGAAATGGCCACGACCAGTGCAGGGAGCCCTAGGGAGGGACAGAGAGAAGGGTGTTGGTCCCCCACTGTCTGAGCCCTGGTCGACTCTCAGCCTCCTTCCAGCACTGCTGGCAGGGCCAGGGGCCAGGGAGGCAAAACATGCCTTTGAAGCCCTGGGCAGAGGAGGACTCAGAGCACGTGAGAAGAGGGACGAAGGGAGGGCAAGCATGAGGACCCACAGAACTGGGGGCAGGGTTGCCAGGCCAGCAGGTAAACACAGCACAGCCAGTTACTGGAGTTTCATGTGAAAAAGGAAACATTTTAAACTGTATGTCCCAAATACTGAATGGAACATACACCATCATCTGGAGTTCACACACAACTTGGCATCAGCATTCTATCTGGCAACCCTATGGAGGGGCAAAGGCCTGGGAGGGAAAGCGCCTTGGAGCCCAGAGGACGGCGGGTGTTGGGGGGGAGCGCGGCCAAGCAGCGGGGCCAGGACAGGGCAGAGCAGGGGGGCCCCGCCGCCCACCTGCCCCGGCTCACCCCAGCCCAGGCAGAGGAAGCGCTTTCGGATGAGGCGGCTCCGGAGGCGGCCTGTCACGGCCATGTAGGACTGCCAGGCCTCGGTAAGCACCCAGCAGAAGGATGACAGGAAGAAGAAGTGCAGGAAGGCGGCCACCAGCGTGCACACCACCTGGGGAGTCGGGGGTGGGCAGGCCCTCGCTCACCCAGCCCACGCCCGCCCGGGTGAGTGGCCCTGGTCAGATCCCCAGGCAGGAAGCCACCCCGGGGTCACCGGGTGCACGACCCTGACATCTAGGCACCCCACTGGGTGCTTGTGTGACCTGCCCACCAACTGCCAAGGACAGCTGGCCCCACCTCCCCACCTTCCTCACCCACTCAGAGACGCAGCTAGTGCTGGCAGGAGCTCACTCAAATGTCTGGTTGGCACCCCCCATTTGGTAGGTGGTAAAGCTGAGGCCCAGAGAAGGCAACTCACCCCTAAGCTCAAATGGCAAGGCCCAGATAAGACCACACAGACCCTGGTGCCCCACAGTGGGCCAGGGCCAGGGTGCTTGAGCTGGCTCCCCTCAAAGTGCCAGTCCAGCCAGAGACTCCAGACATCAAGTGCCCACGTCCTGGCCAGTGACAGCCCCCCTCAGGCCTGAGAAACATGGCGGCCATGGCCAGAGGAGGGACATGGCCCTTGCACCTTCTCTCTAAGCTTCCCAGGGATCCTGGGGTCCAGCCCCTGCTGCGGGCTGTTGACATCACTGCCAGCACCCCACCCGACCCACCAGGGATGCTGGGACGTGCATGCCAGGAAGACGGCGGAGGCCACCTACCTTATTGCGAGTCTGGGTCTGTCCAATGAGGATGAGCGCATTGGAGGAGATGATGGACAGGCAGAAGTTGATGAGGATGACAGAGCGCTCTGAGCGGATGTACCTGTGAGAGGGGTGGGAGGCCCTGCTCAGTGCCCAGCGGGGCCGCATCTTCCCAAGACCTGGGCTGTTGTGGTTGCATCAAGACCAGGTGCCACTGCTCCCTGAAGACAGTTTCCACCACCATCACCACCACCTCCACCACCACCATCACTACCACCACCACCACATACCAAATTCTAGCACATAAGCAGGTGCTAGGGAGGGCCCTGGGGGCTACCCTTCCTGCTGGGGATGGTCCATCCTTAGAAATGCTTCTTGTTGTGCATGACCCTCTCCCTCCCTCCACCCTTGGGACACAGCTCATTGCAAGGCTCTCACTGTCCGCTCCTGGCTTTCACCCCAGCCCCACCTTGCCCCACCAGCCCCACCCACCCTATCTGATCTTGACTTTGAGGCAAGAAGGTAAAGTGGTTTTGAGTCAGGGCTGCAGATTCCATGCCTGCAGTGGCCCAGTCACATCTCAGCTGTGTATCCCTTGGCAAGTGACGCAACCCCTCTGTGCCTTGGTCTCCCCATCCACGAAAAGGGGTGGGGTGATAGCACCTGCTGCTCAGGGCTCTGGCTGAGATGAAAGGGACAGGTTGCAGGGGCTTCAGGCATCACTGCCTGTGCTCCTAGTTTCCCAGCACAGTGTCCCCAGCATCGCCTAGTGGCTGAGATCCAGGCAGGTGGACAGCAGAGGGCACAGGGTTGAGCCCTGGGGGCTGAGATGTGGCCTGAAGGAGTGTGCGACCTTGGGTGGGTCAGGCTCCCTCTGTGGGTCTCCACTTCCTCTGGGAGCCATCGGGATGGGGTCCTGACTACCATCACAGGGGCAGTGATGGCCAGCCAGGCTTAGGAAGAAGGCCCTTTGGAAGCTGAAACCTCAGAACTGCAGCATGGCAGAGTGGGAGAGGCTGTCCAAAGCCCCTTTCCCAGCAAGCCCCTGGGGAGTCAGGGCAGGTGGTTTGATGGGGGCCCTGTGGAAAGGGCCCTGGTGGATGGATGGATGGGTGCATCATCCTTGGGCAAGACACAGGAGGGGCACTGGAACCCAGAGCCGCCTCTCTCCACTGGCCACGTGCCCTCTCCTCACGGGCCCCCAGGCCACATCAGTTCTGTGGCGGCCGATGGAGCGGCACTCTGGGAGTCTCAGTTGGGCCTGGGGCACGGGGTACCCGCCTTCACCCTTCCTGTCCCAAGCCTCTGCCCAGTGGGGCTGAAAGTGGGGCTGTGGGGGCAGGGAGAGGGGACCCACTCCATTAGCACATGCTTGCTTGCACTCACACTTACACACACCTGTGGCCACCTGGGCCTGACATAGGCCCACACCTGTGCACACCCTCATCACCCCGTCCCCCACCCCCACCCCCACCCCCCAGGGCCGGTGACCAGCTCGGATTTGAGCCCTCGCTGCATGCCTTCTGCTCCCACATTGCCCAGGGCCCAGCCCCATGGGCTGGCACCAGACAAACAACACCCAGGGGGTTTAGGGGTCCTGTGGTGAGTGGCTTGGGGGAGGGGAGGGCAGGGGAGCAGGCAGAGGTTGGGCTCAGAGAAGGCAGTGGCCTTGTATGCCCAGGTGACAGGACAGAGGGGGAACTCCAGGGCATGGGACCCTGGTGGTGAAAGGGCAGGGTCCTCAGCTGGGGAGTGGGCTCAAGGTGGCACCCACAGGGAGCTCCTGCAGAAGGCAGAAGGAAGCAGGGCTGGTGCCTTCTGTGCGAGGCAGTGTGGGCATGGCACCGTGTGGGCACAGCACAAGGCAGGAGAGGAGAGCACGGTTGGCCCACCCTGGCATGTGCACGTGCCCCCAGATCACAGCAGCAGTCAGGCAGTGGGCAGAGGTGGAGAGGTGGGGGGTACCGCTGTCCAGCCGGGAGGGCACTGGGAGTGGGGTGGGGCTGTTGCCTGGGAAGGCGTGGAGGAAGCGGCCTCTGGGCTGCTCGTCGTGCACTGTGGCTGCTTTTGAAGGAGAATGGATGGACCTGACCCCGGCTACCCCTTTCCAGAACCACTGGGCCCCTGACCAGCACCCACCCATGCCCATAGGCCCACCTCCACACGGAGACATAGACAATGATGAGCATCAGCAGGGTGGAGGAGGACACGCCGCAGCCCACGATGAGCGTCACCGACGGCACGGCCGCCTTCTCCATGTTCTGGGGGAGCACGGGGGGAGGCAGAGTGAGGGACTGGGTGTACATGGGCGGCCCCAAGGTCCCTCTGTGTGGGTCTGAGTCTGGGGAAACACCCAGGCAGAGCGTTTCCCTCCCCCCAGCGTCCCCGTGAAGCCCGACTGCCTGGCAGCCCTGCGCGCTCCCTGACCCCCACAATCCCCACCCCGCACCTTCCGTCTGGGCTGTCCCCTGGGAGGGGGTCTCGTCTCTTGCTGAGGGTGAGGGTGATAAAGCCTTTGCCTCCATCATTTCACAGACCCCCACGCCTGGGCCCCATGTCACAGGTGGGGTCCCGGAGGCACCAGGCCCAGCCCCCCACCATGGGCAGATCTCCCAGGCTCCGTGGTTCTGGAATGCCTCACAGCTCCAGCAGCATGTAACCGAACCCCAACCTGCCCCCCACTAAAGCCTGGGTCCCAGCAGACCCTGCCTGTCCTACACACACCCAACGGCCCACGGTCTGCCCTCTTTCCCTCACCACCCCTCCCGCTCCACCAGGCCCTGCACGAACTGCATATATCAGCATGCCTCCACTGGGCTGTCCTCTGACCTTGCTATTGGGCAAGGCCCTGCACCTTCCAGCCCCACCCGGACATGCTGCCCTCGCCACTGGCCACTGTCCCCCTCAGGGCCTTTGCACCTAGCTGCCACATGCTCAGTGCTGCCTCTGGCCATTCTGACCTCAGCTGTCCCCTCTCAGAGGGACCTGGGGCCCGCTGTGCCCACTATTAGCCCAGTGCAGCCCTGGATACCTGGCTGGTCTTTGTGAATGCATCCATGTGCTCACCTACGTGACTGCATGACCCAGTCCCTGTGGCAGGCCCAGTGTACAGGCCACGCCAGCCCATGTCAGGCAGACAACACGTACTCATAGAAGAATGGCAAGGCCCCACTGTGCCCAGAACCCACAGACCATGCACAGGGCTGGCGAGAACCAGCTCCACAGCCTCCTCAGTGTGCTGCCTCCAGTGCGAGGGAGGCCACGAGTCCGGGAGCTGAGCGGGAGAGCATGGCTGGGCCGGGTATCTTTCTTATGGGCTCCCCACCCGAAAACAGACATGTTCCAGCCCCTGCTCCAAGCGTGACTTGGCTGACACCCCTCAGAGCCCCCCTCAGGCCCCTGAGCCTGGCATGCTGCCAGGCAAGACTCTGCCCCCATAGCTCCCGAAGCCTGCCCATACCTCTAGCCTTTGGATGGGGCCTCCTGCCGTCCTCAGGTGCCTAAAGACCTGGAGCTCCTGGTTGGGGCATCTGCCCCCGACCTTGATGGCTGATGGCTAGAGGGCCCACCACACTGGTCTCCACCCATGCGCACGTTGCTCCTGTGGCCTGGACTGCCCTCTGCCCCCTGGGGGCATGACCTCCTGCCCCCCAGGCTCTGGCCCAGTGCCCGCTGCTGTGTGAGCCTGCAACCCACTGTCCTCACGCTCATGGGCCCCTCGGGCCAGGCCTGGCACATCGCTGGGCACTGTGACCGGATGGATGAATGGAAAGCAGGAAGGCAGGCTTCCGGAAAATCGAAAAAGCCATCCAAGGACACCCAGGCAGTCTGTGGTCCCTGGGGGCATGGCTCACAGTGTGACTTCAACCAAACTTGTTTCCAACAGGACCACAGGGAAGGGGGCTCTGGGCCTGGCCAGCAGCCCTGAACTACTGGGTAGCCTCGGAGCCCCAGCTAACCATGCAAGTCACAGGCGTTCGAGTAAGTGGCTCATACCTGCTCTGTGGCTGGCTCCGGCCCTGACCTCCATGGCCATCTGCCTCCATCTGCCCTCATTAGGCCTGGCAGCCACCTCCCTACCTGCTCCCTCCTCCTCTGCACCTGGCTCATCCGTCACTCCTGCCAGCCTGGCCTGCAGGTTCTGACGCTATGCGGAGAGGACAGATGACAGATGGGTGGGCAGGGGTGGTGGGACCTCGTCTTGCTGGGAGAGCTAGACTGGAGACCAAGGGAGAGAGCTGGCCCCTCCCACACAGAGAGCAGGCAGAACAGGCGGGCCTCCTGCCAGAGATGGCGCCCTAGCCAGGTTCAAGAACGCCCCAGGGCCTTGGCACATGCTGGCTCCTCTGCCCACTGCCCTTCCCCTGACCTCCACACCTGGCTCCTCCCTCAGCCTAGATGTTACCACCTCATAGAGGCCTCACTGAACATTATCTGAACCAGCCCGTCTCTCTATCCAGCCTCTTGTCTCGAGACTATCTGAGGGGCCACTTCCTCAACCCAGGAGATTTTTCTTGTTTTTGGATGACACAGTTATCCTCCATTTCAACTATGTGAACCACTTACTTCTGAGCTTCTCTCAAATCCTCTATGCATCTTACATGCCCTGAACACTGACTGATTTCACTCCTACGGCACCATCTTTGTCCTGTCACGGCTCTACCCACGGCTCACAACTGCCCACACGAATAAGCTCTGACCCCAACATAGGCCATGCTTGACCTGGGCACACCCTGAGCCCTGGCCCTGGTCACACTCTGGCTCTGACCCTGAGCCCTGGCCCTAATCACAGGCTGACCCTGGTCACACTCTGACCCTGACCTCATCACAGGCTGACTCTGCTTTGGGCACATCACGAACACCTTCACCACACATGCTCACAGACTGCTGACCGCACACCATGCTGTGTGGAGGGCCACCCACAGCTCAGCCAGTTTAGTCCCATGGCCGCTCTGGGGCAGGTGGCACTGCCCCCTCTCCAGTGTGATCAAAACTGTTACTCAGCCGCCTGGTGTCACGGACCCACAGTGACACAGCTTGGATCTGATGCCTTGGCCGAACGCCGGACCAGGGGTGGGGGCATCAGGGTCTTGCCCCATGGCTCCACACCCCACCCGGGATCTCATCCCTCCCTGGCTCCCAGGGTGTGACCACAGCACCCCAGCTGTGCCATCTCCAGCCCTTGCTCTGGACTGCAGTCCCTTGAGACCACTCCCTATCCCAGGATGCCCAGCTTCCCCCTGCTCAGATGCGGATGCCCACCCAGGCCAATTGGGGTGGTACGAAGCTGCCTCCATCCCTCCCCATGCCCAGTCCAGCTCACCTCTGCCACCACTTACCTGCCACTGGGCTATTCTCCCCAACTCCTGTGGCCTTCCCTCTGGGACCCTAACCCCACCACCACTCCCTCACCCCCAAGCCTCCCAGCCTCCCAGCTCCCACTGCCTGGGGACGAAGCCCCACCCCGCTGCACCCCTGCCCTGCCCTCCTGGCCCCACCCTGTCTCCACTGCTTCTTGCCTGTTGCACCCTCCCCACTAAGCTCACTCACTTCTCAGGGCCCCGCTCCAAGCCTCCTCCTCCTGCCTGGCTCCGAACCACCCCCAGGAGGGAAGGAGGCTGTTGCTATGCTCCCAGAGCGCGCTTCCTCCCTCCAGCCTGCCCAGGCCTGTCTCCATCCGACCTCGCAGCCACTGGGCCCAGGGCAGGCACTAACAGGGTCAGCACACTGTGAGGGCTGCGTGACAGTGGCCTCACCTTCACTCTCTGTCCCTCCCTCATTGGTCCCCCTTCCCTGGGGCCAGAGCTGGCAGGAAAGGAAAGGCGGGCAGCAATGAGACCAATGGCAGGTGGCAGGGGACTGAGCCCACCCCAGTTCCTTCCCACACTCTTGCTCTGAGCTCCTGCCCATGTCCTGAGGGGTCACGGAACCAGGCAGAGCTGGCTACTATGCCATCTCCCAGATGAGGAAACGGAGGCTCACGACAGCCCATAAATCTGCCTTCTGCCTCTCACCAGGGAGTGACTTGGTGGCTGCTGTGAGCCCCCAGCCTCAGTTGCCTCTCCTGGGACATGGGGACAGGGTGCCCCAACCTGCCAGCCGCACCCACCTTTGTGCACACTGCCACAGTGGGTCATGGTGACAGAAGGGCCCCCTGCCTTCAGCTGCTGATCCCCGGCCCAACAAAGCCTCAGACCCTTCATGGACCAAGACCCCAGGACAGTGGCCTCCATCTGCCATCCTCAGAGGGGCCCAGGGCAGGTCAGCAATTCCCAGAAAGGCCCCCATAGTGGGTGTCAAGTCCCTCACCCCCCGAGTTCCACCAGCACCAGCCTCCCCACTGCCCCCACTGGACACGTTCTCAGGGCCAGGCCCGCCCTGCAGCTCAGTCCCCGAATAGGATGCTGCCTTCCTGTGCGTGACACTGCAGGGCGCTCCAGGCCCTGGGCCAGGACAGCCCCATCAGCTGGGGTACTGCTCATGGCCCCGTGAGTGGCACTGGAGAGGAGACTGAGGCTCAGAGGGTCTGAAGGCCAGTCTAGCATCACTGTGTATGAGGGACAAGTCGGTGTTCCAAGATTTGACCAACTGGGGTCTCCTATGGACCAGACCCTAGGCTGAGATGAGATAAGGGGCATGTACCCTACTCCAGAGCCCTCCCCTGCCCCCAGTCATCCTCACACACAAAAGGAGGAGCAGCTGCCTGGGACACAAGGCTGGGCCTGTCCTGCTTGCTCTGGCCTTGCAGGAGACCCGAGAGGCCCCAGCTCAGATGGCTGCTCGCCTGTACAGTGGGAACCTGCTGCTTTGGTATCAATCACCATCTATGCAGAAAGCCACCTCTTCTAGGCAGCCCCCAGGATGGACCTGGCTGTTGCCTTCAGGGCCCTCTCCCTCGAGAACAGCAGTCCCATCATAGAGACAGCCTGCTGGCAGGGGTGCACCAGGATCAGGGCTCAGAGCGCAGATCCCCATCCAGCCAGACTCAACTCCAGACCCTGAGCAAGCCCCACATCCAGGCCTCCGGTTCTCTGCCTGTCAATGTAAAGGTTTAGTGGCTGTGACCTCTAAGGTCCTGCCCAGCTCTGACCACGTGGGGGACCCTGGTTGACAGCACTGCATTCTCTACCCTGACCCACATGACAAAGTGCGGTGGGAAGAACGTCCTTAGAGGGGCGCGGAACGTCTGCCACACCGAGCCAAGGGTTCTAGGAGGGGAGAGCTGTGTTGATGGGGGCCGGCAGCCCAAAACACGGAGGACAGCAGGGCCCCCGCCCGGTTTGTCCCCCCTCTCTGTGACCCTTCCATACCAAGCCTGGGGCAAGGGGCTTGTGAGCAAGGAGCCCCACTCCCTCCCTCCTTGGGGGGCCAGTGACCTGGCTGGGATGGGGAGGCCAGGGAGTGCAGCTTGGCCCTGGGCAAGACAGTCCCAAGTCCCAGTGGACCAGGCCCACCGAGGGCTCCAGCCAGCAAGCTGGCCCCAGATGCCGTCACCATAGAAACCGGCGGCCCCCACAAGAATCACAGGAACAAAAAGGAGGCCCCTGAGATGATGGGGCCTTCCTGGGGAGGGCTGTGGATCTGGCCTGGGCCCAGCACCCTCGGCCATCCCAGGATCCCTAGGCAGGGACACAGCTGCCGCCAAAGGCCACAGTCCACCTGGGTGGGTGGGGAAGGGTCTCAGGAAGGTGGCAGCTCCTTCCCCTCCCTTCCCCTGGCAGTCACGGACCCTGCCACCAGCTGAGGGCAGCCTGCCAGGCCAAGCCCTCCCCGGGGCCCAGAGAGCCTCAGGATCCAGCCTGCCTGGCTCCCGAAAGCGCCGGCTCCCTCCAGGGTCCCAGGCCCTCAAGGAGAGTGGGGAGGCTCCCCATCAGCCACTGGGGGGCTCGGCCGGTCTCCAACTCCACTCTGCCATCCCCTTGGCTGCCACCCCCCTCTCCAGGGTCAGGGGCCCTGCCCGCCGGGCCACGGGGCAGCGAAGGCCGCCCTGCCCCTACGTGCCCTCCCCGCGGACCGGAGGCGACGTCCCGCCGCAGCCCCCCGCGCGCCCCCGCCGCCCGCCGCCCGCCGCCGCCGCCGCGTCGCGGCCGGGGTCTCACCGCGTCGGCGCTGAGCTGGGCTAAGATGGCGAAGGTGGAGAGCCGGTCACAGAGGCAGCGCGTCCGGAGGGCGTCGAGGGGCACCGTGCGGCAGCCGCGCCACGACCAGGGCCCGAGCTGCGGGGGCGCGGGGGAGGAGGGCCTGGGGGCGGGACACACGGGGGACAGGGCGGCGTGAGCGGCGGCCGGCCGGCGCCCGGGGCCCGTCCCCGCCGGCCCGCGCCCGCACCTGCGCCCGCCGCCGCGCGCCCGCCCCGCCGCCGGCCCCCGGAGCCCCGCGCCCCATGGCCGCGCCGCGGAACCACGGGAGAGCGGCTCGCGGGAGCGCGGGCCGGCGGGACCGCGGGGCGCCGGGCTGGCCCCGAGCCCGGAGCGCCGCCCCCGCCGCGCCCCCGCGCCGCGGGCGGAGGGAGGGGCGCCCCGGAGCCGGTGGCCTCGACAGTACCCCTGGGCGGGCGCCGGCGCCCTTGGGACGGCCCCGCCCTCCACAGCCGCCTCCCGGGGGCCTGGCTCGCCAACTGGGGCAGAAACAGCTTTCTCCTGGTAGAGGGGAAGCAGTCAGAAAGGCCCCCACGGGACCCAGGGTTCTCCTGCCATCCCGGGCCCATGACTGCTTCCCTTCCACCTCCACTGCAGGAGTTGTCAGGTCTCAGCGCTCTGCTAACCAGTGGTTCCTGAGCTAAGCCCCCCACCCACCAAGGCCAACCCACATGTCCAGGAACTTGGGAGGGTACAGCCACGCACACCTGGCCCGGACTAGGCCTGCCTTCTCTAGGCCTGCTGTGGCTTGGCCTGCAGAAGGTGCCCATGGAGTGCAGCCTGCAAGCTGGGGATTTGGGGCCTGGGGTGGGTGGTGGTCTCCAGTCTGCCTCAAGAGGCCAAACTGAAACTGCAGTTCAGGAGCCACAGCTCCTTCTGAACCCAGGGCACCCCCCACCCCCACCCCAAGTAATTCCAACCAGCACCTGCCTTGAGGGGGAAATTTCCAAGTCTCTACTCCCAGCCCAAGAACTAGGGAGCTGCAAGGGGCCTGCCGTTCAGTTCACCTCCCCATCCCACCCCGTGTCCACCGCACGCTGGGGCTGAGCTGCACCCTGCCAGCCTCCTCCCCAGAGGAGCGCTGACCTGCACACACACCTGGAGAACTCCGCTCTGCTCAGCGTCTGCGAGCAACCAGCCTTGGCCACCCCTCAGCCGTCACCTTGGGGAGTTACCCTCCCCCTAGCTTCAACTTCCTCCTCTCTGAAATGGGGAGTGGGACTGCCCAGAGGATGAAGTGGTGGACACCCATTAGGTGCCCAGCACAGTGCTACATGTTGTATCAACGTCTTTGGAAACATTTAGGACTGCCAGCTGCAGGTACTGAGAGCCCCGGAGCAGCTCCTGTTGAACTGGAGGTGTTACTCAGTTTCCTGTCTGACCTTCAGGCCTGGGGTGGGGGGAAGGGACACACTCTAGGACAGGCTGGAGGCCCTCGCATCTGCTTTTCTCTTGATTCTACTCATGGTGAAGGACCTGCCCCCATTTTACAGAGGAGGAAAACTGAGTTCCAAGGGTAGCAAGATGAGTCCCAGGAGCCAGCCCCAGACTTTGTGGGATGCACCAGGGCTCTCTGGTCCCAGAAGACCCTCTCCTCCTGCCTTTCTGATAATCTATGAAATGCAGTAAATGGGGCAATGTCCTTCTCATGGGCACTGTTCTCTGAGCCCATAGGGGCCAGGGTTTGGGGGGCTCAAAATGCATCCACTTTTTTAGGGGCCTTCCATAAAATGAGGATGCATTAGTAGGCATCAGTCATGGAGGGGCCCTGGAGCATCAGCCTCTCAGGTTCTGGGGGCGCCTCTGCCAAAGCCTTCTGGCCTTAGCCCATCTGAACCTCTGTTGACCTCGGAGGAGCTGAGGTATGCCCATCACAGAGCACGGCAAAGCCCAGGCAGGGCCAGGGCGGAGGACGCAGCATTGACCCCAGCCCCAGGGACGGAGGCTGGGGCTGGGCTGCCCCTGTGGTCCCAGCTCCTGGCCTGCCACCATGCAGGTCCTGCAGCCCGGACACAAAGTAGAGCAAAGTCAAAGCTTATTAAGACCCCAGCAGAGTCCCCTTCTCCCCTTCCTTCCTCAGGAGAAAGAAGACCTGGTAACCACGGAGCCAGAAACCATGGAGCAGGTAGGTAACCATGGAGCCACCCAACCTGGGTGACAGAAGGACTGGGACGGGAGTGCAGAGTCCTGACAGTCCTGGGGCTCCTGATGACCCCAGGGCCAGCCTGGTCCGCCCTGCCAGCCAGAGGTTTATCAAGGCCAGCACCACAGGACGGGTCCCAGAGCACTGAGCCCTGGCTGACCCCCACCCCTGACCCCATCCCTCCTTCCGTCCCACTGGGAATGCCCTGTCCTCAAGCCTGGGCCTGCATGTGGCTGTGACCCTGGAAGCACAAGCTGCCGACTGGACAGCAAGCCAGGCAAGCCGACGCAGGCCAGAAGAAACCAAATCAGGGTCCTCCAGGAGAGGGTCTCTCGGGCCACTCCCATCTGGAGACACAGCACCTCTTGCTAGCGACCGGCTTGTCCACGATGTTGGCCATGTGGCTGTTCTTCAGGGCAGGACTCTGGCCAGTCAGTCCTGGGTTCAAATCCCAGCTCTGCTTCTCAGGATCCAGCATGGACACTGCCTCTACTCTCCTCCTATGAGCAGAGGGGAACACGGAGCCCAGCTCTCCTGCCTGCCTGAGGGCTGCTGGGGGCACCTGGAGAGGGTGGCACCCTGAGGCCGCGTGTGAGGGCAGCCGGGCTGGCTGGGACCAGCAGCCTGGCAGGTTCCCAGCCAGTGTTGGCGGGTCTGCAGGGCGCCAGGCCGACAGCTGCTGGCAGCCTCCTGGGAAAATGCCAGCTCAGGCCAGTGGCTGGTCCTTCAGGGCTCCTGTGATGGACACTAATTAGCTTATCAGCCTCCCAGAGGATGGGAAAGCAAGAGGCTGCTGCCCACTCTGCTAAGGGGTCTAGCCAGAGCCTGGCCCTGTGGCCTCATGCTATGGGGGGCACGAGGAAACCCCCAGTCCTGGTCTGGAGATGAGCTGGTCGGGCTGGGAGCCCAGCAGGTAGGCGGCTGCTGTCATTCAGGAGGCTTCCTGCACCTGGAGCCGGTGCTGCGGCTCATGTGGACCCTGCAGGACTGCGGTGCAGTTCTCTAGTCTTGAGCTCTCCCACTCCATGTCCCCTGGCTCCAGCAGGCCCAGTGCCATGCTCAGCAGGCCATATTTGGGGGTATGCTCAGCTCTCTGACATACATTCAGCACAGAGACAGACCCTCTCCTTGCCCCTCCCGTGCCTGTGCACTGTATCATATGACCTTGGCAATAACCTCAGCTCAGCTGTGGATATAAAAACAGGCTCAGAGGTCGCTAGACTGCCCCAGGCCATACAGCCAGACGAAGGAGGGCTGGGATACCAGCTCACATCTGTCTGACCTCCCTCTGGGCCTAAACATCTGAACCACAGCAGAACAGATCTGACAAGGACCCTAAAGGGTAACCTGGGACCCAGACCAGACAGTAGGGTGGCCTTCTCAAGGCCCCGCCCAAAACCAGGAAAAAAATTTGGTCCAGTTGGTTTCCTGTGTGGTGAGCAGAGCCTTCCACATTGGAGGACATCAGCAACAGGCTGGCCTGGAGCACAGCAGGTGGGTGGGTGGTCCTGACCCGAGGCACTCACCTGCCTCTCAGGCACACCTGAGCAAGGTCAGGAAATTCTCAGCCTTCCCGCTTTAATAAAACCTCCAGGATGCATCCTCTTAAACATGTCTGGAAGTCCTTCCCCACATCAGACCACAATCCATCCTGCTTCAGGGGACAGCTGTCCCCATCTCTGCAACACAGGCAGTTACCCCCTCCTCTTGCACACAGCCACACGTGGGAGACTGTTTGTCGCCTCTGGTCTGAGCTTTAGAAACTTGGAATATCTGGGTCAGGGAGCCAGGCCCCCCTTGCCAGCCCTGAGGAATCTGGGCCAGTGACACCTGCTCTTCCCCCAGCACTAGGCCCAGGCTGAGTGACGGCATGGGGGCAGCAGCTCCTCCCAGGACCAGAAGGGCGGAGGGCCCTGGGGCTTACAGAAGGAGCACCTCCCTGCCTGCATCGAGGGGAATCTGAGGGGGGCCCTGGACCCTTCAGATCAGAGCCTGGCCCCTCAGAGCTGAGTGCCTCCCCTGTGAAGAGGGCGCCCCCAGAGTGGGGCTGTGGAGCCTGCATCAGAGCGGAGCTCCCAGGGCAGAGCCGTGCCTCCCTACCAGACCAGCCAGGCCAGGCAAGGATGGCTCCACCTCCAGAGCCATCGGGCCAGCTCCCCGGCTCCCTTAGGGAGGTACCCCTGAGCTGCCTCCTCTGTGGGGTCCTCCTGCCTCCTGCCCCATGCCCCCTACAGTATGCTCTGCTCCTGGCTTCCAGGCCTGCCCCGCATCTCCCCAGGAGGGCTGGATGGGCCCGGCTTGCCCACACAGCCGCTGACACACCAGCAGAGTCAGGGTGCTGAGTGGACGGGCACAGCCCCCTGCCCAGTAACCCACTGGGTTACTGCCGGCAACCTGGGGCCCTCCGTCCCTCCTTCTCACACCTGCAGCTGACCCCTCAGCAGATCCCACTGGCCTTCCTTACATAAGGCCCCGAATCTGACCCCTGCTCACGCCTTGGTGGGAACCACCCTAGTGGGACCCCTGCCAGCATTCCCCTGGGCTGTCACCCTGCTGACCACCCATCCTCCCGTGACCAGCACTATCACTTAAAATATGCCAGGCCATGTCCTTTCCTGCTCAAACCCTCCATGTCCCCTCCTCTTTCGGGGACCCACACTGCCCTCGGGACCTGCCCCTCACCACCCTGGCCTCCCCACTCTTCCCTCCAGCCACCTTCAGGCTGTGATGCTCAGATAGTGCCCGTCCGACCCGACCCAAGGAGGGGGAGCTGGGAAGCCGAGGCTGATCCCACCCTTAGGCAAATGGTCCTTCTAGCCACTTGGAGCTGAGCTGCCTCCCCTGAGAAGTGGGAGCAAATCATCACCCCACACGCTGTTCAGGGAGACCACAGGGACACAGAGCCCATGGCAGGGATATCAGGGGACAGTAACACAGTGTGAGAGCCACCCGCCTACCCACCCACCCATGAGCCAGGGCCTTCGCTGTGTTCGTGATGCCTCCTGTCGGCCCACGGAGCAGGTGCTATTATGGGACTATGCCCGTCAGGGTCTCCTGGGGTTTGATGGGCTAATTCATACAGGAGTGTGAATGACTCATAGGTGTCTTCCCACACAGCAGAAAAAAGCAGAGTGGGCATAGCATGCCGCAGTGGGGAGCAGGGAGTGGGCAAGGTGTCTCTGCAGGCAGGGGCTTCTAGGAGCTCCTCAAAACTTTTCAGGCTGGCCTTCAAGACCCTCAATGGGCTGACCTCCACTTGTCCCCTGAACCATCCCATCCATGAACCTGGCTCAGTCATACTTCACCCAACAGGAGTGCCCACCTGCCCCTGCCCGCTGCTGAGCCATGGATCAGGCTTGTGCTGAGTCCTCTCCTCCAGGGAGCCTGCCTGAAGAGCCCATGAGTTCGTGAGCTTTGCACCTGGCCCTCCGTCAGGTGCTGCCCCACTTCTGTGCTGGGGCTCCCCTCCCTGGGTCCTACCTCACCCAGCAGCTCATCTGACCCCCAAGCCCCACTGGGCCCTGGCAGCCCTGCTGCACACGCCAGCTCACAGGACCATGGTGACCCAGCACACAAGCGCCCTCTCCTGCCTCCAGGCCTTGATCTGGGCCAGTCCCACTGACCACATGCCTTCCTGTCCCCTGGGTGACGCAGCCTGGCCTTTCAGAGCTCCCCAGAGTCACAGTACTCCCAGGAAGCCTCCCTGACTGCCCATCCATGCCTGGTTACCAGCTGGCTGCCAGCTCGGGAGCCCCCAGGGCAGGGCATGTCTGCTCCCCTAGCATGTGGCCCAGATCAGCTCTGCCCCCTTTCAGTTCAGGGCCTGGTGGCCATGCCTAGGGCCTCGAGGGGCCCCTGGTACTGTGACCTGTGGACCATGGGGACAGACACCTGCCTGGCCTGGGTCTTGCTCAGTGGGCTGCCTGGTGAGGCCACGGCCCTCAGGCCTGTGTCCCTCCTGTGGCACTGGCTTTCCCAGCACTGACTGGCTGAGTCCATTCAGTGCACATGGGTCTGTGACCAGGGCTTCTCATGCTGCCCACAACAGCAAGGTGCCAATCTACTTGCTCCCGCCTGGAGCCAGCCACACTCTGAGTCAGGGCCTCCCGCCACAGGCCTGCCCTGGCTCTTCTCTTTACCCATCCCGCTCCCCTGGGCAGACTGGGCCCCTGCAGAGAGTGGGACCCTGGGTTCCTTGGCCCCAAAAGGGAGTGATCCGACCTGGGAGGGCCAAGGTCCTACTGGTACCCCTCCACCCACTGACCCCTCACAGCTCAGAAGCCTATACCCTAGGGATCCTACTTGAACCCTTCACCTCACTCAGGACTCTACCTGGTGTACCTCTGGCCCAGCTCTGCATGGCCTGTCTCCCACCTGTACAACTGAGGGGCCACTACCCTGACACCCACACCTGCAGGCTCCAGCCACTGGCTTGGCCGGATGGTCAAGCTGCACACTCATGCACTCCCTCAGCAAACACCTCCCTGGCCTGCCAGGCCTTGTGATAAACATCCCCGACTCCAACGATCCCACACCTCACTACCCACCCTGGCCAGCCCAGCCCTGTCTCCTCTAAGGTGTGCTCCCAGATGCCGGGGCCCATGGGCTCCCCTCTCTGCCCTCCCCGCGGCCGCCTGACCCCCCTGGCTGGGGTCTGATCCCATCTGCTGTGGTTCAGATCACCGACTGGGCATGGGTGTGCCCTGGTTCCCATGTGGAGGGGCACTCCCACCACCACTGCCACCTGAACTGTCCCCACAACCTCCACCCTCATAGCTGTCACAGAGACCACCCCCACAACAGTAGTATCACCATCAACACCACGGCCAATACCATCAGCAGTACAACCGTTCCCCCCACACTACAGCATTTGTTACTCACACTGCCACCACCACCACCACCACCACCATTGCCATCACTGCCGCCGTCACCACCACAACCACCACTGGCACCACCACCACAACTGCCGCCACCACCACCACAACTGCCACCACCACCGCTGCCACCACCACTATCACCACAACTGCCACCACCATCACCATCACCACCACGACCATCACCGCCACCACTGCCACTACTGCCGCCGCTGTCACCACCACTGCCGCCATTAGTGCTGTCAGCCACAAATCACTACCAATGCTGCCACTCTCACCACCACTGTCAACAGCGCAATCATGGATACACTGACCATTACTGGGTCTTTGTGGTCACCAGCACTGCCTGCACTATTACATCACATTGGCTGCTATCATCTTCTCAGAAACAGCACAGTGACTGTCACAGGACACTAGCTGGTAACCTCCGTCACCAGCACCCAATCCCAGCACATCAGGGCACCGAGGAGGCAGGACCGCCTTGCAGGTGTCACACCCCCATCAAGTATGGCGGTGTGAACTCAGGCAGCCACACCATCCCCACCGTCTGTCCCACCTCTGACCACCACCTGACCCTCTAGGCACCTCCCAGGGCACCTGACTCCCAAAGGACCCTGCTTCCAGGT